GAACCGATGGAGCGGCGGATGAAGAACGCTCCGGATCGTCTCAGGATCTCTCCGACGATCTTCATCCCTGCCAGAGCTTCACAGACGACGGAGACAAAGTCAGAGCCTGCGGCCGATCAATAACCGATCAATACATCAAGTGACTCCGACTCCAGCAGATACTTGCGGATTCCTGCAGCGATCACCGGGATCGGGACGTCGTAGGCGAACATGATGTAGGAGACGATGAGGAAGTCGACGTAGCTGCGGTGGTTGGGCATCAGGATGACCGGGTTCTCCTGCACGGCCTGCTGCAGCTGCAGAGACAGAAACACAAGAGAAAACGGTTCTGACCGGTTCTGTCACATCCAGAAAACCTTCTCAGGTCCACAAAATCTAGAAAATACAGAACAACTAAAGGAACCTTTAATGGAAGTCTTTATTTATGTCCAATAAAATAATAGAATAAAAAATGACAAAGAAAGACTGATTTGATTTTAACGTCTTGTGTCTTTTTATTTATTTATTTGCTTTAAATATATTAATATTTTAGCCTTAATATTTTATTTAATTTGTCTTTTGTCTTTTATATATTTTATTTAAACTATTTTGTCTTTTTAATTTCTTTTATCATTTTACTATTTTCTATTTTTATTTTTTGTAATAGAATTTTTATTATTTTATTTTAATTATTTTATTTCTTTAATCTCTTTTATCATTTTATTATTTTGACATTTTGGCTTTTTAATTTTTTTTATATATAGAATTTTAAACCAAATTTTTTAGCCTTTGGTAAAATATTATTATATTTAGCTATTAAAATGTAACTTAATCAAACATTTTTTAGTTTGTTTATTTAGTTTTTATTATTGTATTTTAACATTTTGTCATTTTTATCAATTTTTCTGGTTTTGTTTTTTAATAATTTTTTATATTTCATTTTATTTAAACGCTTTGTCTTTAATCTATTTAATCAACTTTTAAAGATTTTTTAAAAATCTTTTAATCCACTGTATGTGGATTTTATATTTTATTATTTTATTTTAATCTATTTCATACAGTTTTATTTTATTTTAATAGCTTGTCTTCTTATTTTATTTTATCTACTTTTTATTTTTACTTTTTTTTTGCCTTTTTAATCTTTTAAAATTTTAAGATCTGTACTTTTTAATCTATTTTTTTATTATTTCATTTGAAGAATGTCTTTTTAATGTATAATAACTAGTTTTATTATTTTATTTATTTAATATTTTGTCAATCTGTCTTTTTAATATGTTTTATGTTGTAGTTTATCATTTTGTCTTTTTATCCTATTTGACCTGTTTTTTTTTTTCCATTTATGAGTTTGTCTTGTTTATCTTTTTTTATTTGCTGTTTGTTCTGNTGACTCAAGAAACGTCCAGAATTACATAAAATTGGTCCAGAATGATTTGAAATGTGTTCTGTTCAACTCAAAAAGGTTTAAAATGACTCAAAACATCCAAGAAATGACTCAAATCATTCAAAATTACTTTTAAAAAGTCCAAAATGACAACAAATTTATTCATATTCGCTTAAAAATTGTCCAGAGTAATTCCAAAATTGTCCAAATTGATTCAAGAAATGTCCAAAATCACTCAAAACTTGCACAAAACGTCTCAAGAAACGTCCAGCATTACATAAAAGTCATCCAGACAGACTGAAGACGGGTCCTAAATAACTCAACAGGGTCCACACTGACTCTAAACACGACCAAAACCACTGAAAATGTGTCTAGAAGAATTAAAAAATGACTTCTATAGGACTCAACAAGGTCCAAAATGATCCAAGAAATGTTCAGAGAGATTCAGAACTTGTACAAAATTACAAAAAAGGCGAAAAATGACTAAAGTTTAGTCAAAAACTGAAGACTGCAGACGTTCTACAGGAACCCAGCAGCAGCTCTACGACAACCTGAAGGAACCAGGAACCAGACAGCAGAACCCTCTGACCTCCCTGATGATCGAAATCTGAAGCCGGTTTAATCTGAACCCGACCCAACACCTGCAGCAGCTGCTCCACCCACCGGGCCAGCTGAGTCGGGCTCCACAGTCCAGCGCCAGCCTCCTGATCCACACGGTCCGGTCGCAGAGCTGCTGCCACGGCAGGCCGTCCTCCGTCAGCGCCGAGGTCGGGTTCTGCAGCAGCAGGCAGCACATCAGGGACCAGACCCCGACCACAGAGCCCTCCTCCTGGACCCGGACCACCAGGTGGGCCAGCCAGCTCACACAGGCCTGGACCTCCGCAGAGGGCGGCTGAGGAAGATCTCTGGAGGGAGAAGCAGACGGAGGTCATGGACGTTGTTCTTGGAGGTTCAGAACGATGGACGGAGAAGTTCTGAAGTGTGGAATCATTCAAACATTCCCCACAAACGATTAATATGACTGAAGGTTTGTTGAAAACGACGGAAACAGTCCAAATGACTCAGAACCTGTCCAGAATCAGTCAGAAATCGTCCAAAAATAATACAAGTGTCCAAAACAACTTATAAACTGTTCAGAATGACTCCAAATGTGACTAAAAAACGACTTCAATTGTCCTGAATGATTCAAAAATTGTTCAAAATGACAAACAG